CTTTGACGAAAGGATTGGCTAGAGAGAAAGTCCATAATTTTTATAAGAAAATGGGACTATTTCCATTGAAATGAGTCACACATAATGGTAACCCAACCTATGGACTGGAGATCCCAAGAAATAGGTTCAAAGGGTAATAACAAGTTATGGAGTGATATGAGTTGATTATGTTCAAAAGACATAAATTCCTGAAGCGATCAAGGATAAGTTAATAGGAACTCTTAATAAAATCTATACTCCATTTGGAGTAGAGTACCTAGCTACAGGAGTACTCTTGATAGATTCACCTATGTGAATGTGGAAGTTAGGCCGTTTCCTATGACATGTGTGGCAGCATTTCTAGAGCGTTCACTATACTGGGATAGACGTGCATGGCTGTAATAGCACGGGTCTATAACCACACCAAGAGTAGGTTGTGTATGGTACGTTGTCAAAGATAGGGTTCAAAACTTCGAGTTACCCTTGTGAAATTTGAATCGTATTCACTATGTAGAAGTTCAAGTTGAAAAACACTTCTGTTTATGCACAACCTATATATGTAAGGATTCTGCTCGAAAATATTTTCAAAAAATTCAACTGGGGGATTGTTGGAACAACGTGTGTTTTGGGTGTGAATTTTGTGAAAATCACAAAGTCCCACATTGGTGGGAAATGAGAGTCTTACTCTCTTTATATAGAAGTGTGTAGTATACTTGGGTGTGGCCCAAGAGCTACCCACATTTTGTTGAGAGGGAAGACTTACCTACCGAGCCAAACCAACACACACGCGCGCGCCGAATCGAGCCGAGTCAGGCTGGGTTGGGCTGGGTTGGGTCGGGTTTATTAAACAAACTTAATTTTTATACAGTTTTTGAACAAGGCTTAATTTCGGAATATTGCCTTAATAATTCCATAATTAAAGCCTTGATTGTTGTTGATTGTTTTGATTTAGCAAATAAACCGACCATTTTAATTTATTCTGTTCCCGTTTTTAGCTAAATTACTGTCATTTTAATCCAGATTTGTCCGTTTATTATCTTACCGTTTTAAGCAGATTTTATTCTCACTTAATTGTGCCAAAAAAAGGGTTGTTGCTTTTTAATTTTTTGCTTGAAACGTTGAAATCAGCTGGCCTATATATACAGCATTCTTCAGTGTTTCAAAATACAAAAAGTCATTTTTATAATCTTCTTCCCCCTAAAATACAGAATTTGAGCAGTTTTCTTATAGTTTTGGTGTATAGTTTGCCTGGTGGTTATGTGCAAATCCATCGGTATATTTTTATTTCGAGAGATTGTTTCATCCTGGGGAGCATCTGGTTGTGGTACGATCTGCTTGCACAAACTAAAGGCAATGCTGCGAATGTTCTAAAGAGAGCGACATTGTCCGTGACTCAGTCTATTTCCCAGTAACTTTGTTCTTATTATTTTTGTTCCTGTAGTTCCGTTTATAACAAAAAGTGAATGGAAAATGATATAAATTTAATAGTGACAATTTTTCGTATGAAATGATAAAGACTTGGTATCAATTAGACGTGTCATTTTGTTCTAAATAAAATGTGGACAATTTATAAGGTACAACACTAAGAATAGAAATGTGGACAGTTCAACGATTATAGCACATGTTTAAAAGAGCAAAAATAAAGGACGAAAATGATAAGAGAGGGCAAGCTGAAGATTAGTTTGAACCAATAATTGATGTACTAAATAAAATTAAATCAAAGCTCAACAACTAACAAAGTAATAATTACCCATTGGACCAAGTCTTTGTATAAAGTACAAATAAGGAGTAATTTATGAACCAAATTTGCAACTAAATCTTAAGTTAGGTACTAACTTTAGCTGAATTTAAATTAGCTACTAGTAATATGTATTCTTGCATAAAAAAAGTTTCTCTGTATGTTTTATTTCCTAACCTATACAAGTTCATCTCATAAATCTAATTTTTGCCTTGTCATTTCAATTCTTTTTTATTTCAGTGATAATATTTTATTTTATTTTAAATTCAAGTAAAATTGGATGTGACATAAATCTAACACACTTACACAAGTGATTACGTGAAGGCCAAGGTTACTAATGGTTACAAAACAAGCAAAGAATATTTTAAATTAAGTTTCAAATTTTAAGAACTACAAGATCGGTCCGTCTTAAACTTTGTTGGAGCCTTGTACATATTACAAAAATTCGACCTATAAAAAATTTTTGATCTCTTGTCTTGATCATCAAGTTTATACGTAAGGACAAGTTCTAGTACGTAGTCTACTCATATGTTACCAGGACCATTTGATTAGGGGATTTTTCCCCGCCACGTGGACCAATGAAGCCCTGCCACGTGTTATCCACGTGGACCAACCAGAGTTCTCCACGTATCACCTCGTGAGAGGTCCAAGGAGGACCAATCAGGTCACAACACGTGGTAGGCAGAATTGCCAACTAGGAAAGTGGCCTCCTAAGGCCTAAATTCCCAGGCAAAGCCCAGTCAGCCCTAGGTTTACTGAAACCTAGTACTGGGCACGTTTTTCAACACCCTATAAAAAGGAGATGTTACCCTCTGAGGAACATCTATTCAGAAACATTGAATACACATTAATTCACAATCAGAGAAAGTCAGACACCTGACACCTCGAACTGAGCAATTACACATTGCAGATACTCTGTTGGAATCCGAGAGAGACCTTTTACTTTCCGCACTTTACTCCTCATACACGTTCTAACTTGATCGTCTGGAGGCGAAACTCCCACCCACCGGAGTCTCCGTTGTTTTGCAGGTACATGCGTCCAGAGGTCAGTCTTGGAATTGTAACTCTCCCGAAGGACATCAAAAAACCCCGAAACATTTGGCGCCGTCTGTGGGGAGAATACTTCAAAGATGACTTCACAAGAACATGTACCACCTCTTAATGAGAAACGGCCTACGGCCGACGTCTAGGTCTTCTCAGACCAAGATACGGATGATGACTATGAAGTCGCCACCCATACGGCCCCTGACGGGTCTCTTAGGACATGGCGCATCTATCCCACCAAAAGGAGGGAACGGACACTGACCAAGCAGGGCCCAGTCAAACAGTCGGCCAGCCGACTGGTAAGCTCCAGGTGGCCGAAGGATCCACCCCCATCACTAGAAACGAACTCATGACTCTAATGACAAGTTTCAAAGGGGAGATAAAAGGATCTTATTGATAAACGAACGGCTGTCCCTACCAAGGAATAGTCGGCCAAGAAGCCCTCTTATTCTGGGAAGAAAAAGTCGGTCAAGGACCGAGAGGCCACTCCTTACCGTAAACCGAGGGAAGGACAGAAGCCCTTGTTAAATTTGGCCGGACTTCGGTTCCCTGAGCCAGGGAAGAGGAAGGCCATCCAGCATATACAGCCGGATGGTTCCAAGAAAACATATTCCGTTGCTCGGATGATAATCCAGCAAAAGAAGAATATGCAACTGTCATAGTCGGCCTCAACGTCGAACTTCAATGACAACTTTCAGAATACTTCAATGAGGTATTCTCAATCAAACCAAGAGAACCAGACAGGCGGCATGTCCGCCCACTCTAGTCCTCAGATGTTCCAGGTGGCCCGTATGCGCCTCCACAACCATACATGCCGTATGGACCACCATGTATGCAACCTACCCTCTTCGGGGGGCAGGCGGCACAAAATATCCAGCCTTTGGATCGGCAGCTCCGACTGCTAAGACTTGGGGAACAGCCTTCAACTTTCTCCAAGGAAATAACTGAGGTCGCACAGCCGGCCAAGGTAAAAAATGTGTTGGTAGGTACTTATGATGGTACCACCAATCTTTAAGACCATATGATGGCGTACACCAACCTTATGTATCTACAAGGGTTGGATGATGCGACATGGTGTAGATGTTTCCCGGCCACATTGAAGGGCGTCGCCCAGCAATGGTTCGGCAACTTGCCAGCCGGGTGCATCAATAACTTTAAGACGCTTGCATACTTGTTTGCGTCAAACTTCTCAATGAATATCCCTGCGAAGAAAACAAGTCTTAACTTGGGATCTATACAGCAGGGAGAGAAGGAGGGGCTACGCTCATATATCAGGCGGTTCAATCTGATGAAAATTCAGATTCAAGGACTATCTGATGAGGTAGCTTACACAGACTTTTTCAAAGGTCTGAAGGATGGGTCGGCCTTCAAGTTCGACCTCGTCAGAAAGAGGGTGACTACTCACCAAGAGGCACTGATGGAGGCAGACGCCTATATACAAGCGACCGAGCTCTGCAACATCAGTAAGCAGTCGGACTCAAAGAGGTCTGACAAAAAAGAGAGTCGGCCATCACAGCCGGCTAAGAAAGAAGAAAAGATAAGAAAACGAGTCTGGGTGACTGAAACTTCTGAACAGCCATCCCAGAAGAAAAAAGAGAGAAGCGGAGACGTACTCCCCAAAGTACGAATTCAATAAAGACTGTTACTTCATCCTCATGGAGATTAAGGACCGGGTCTTTATTGACAAGCCAGCTTCTATGAAAGGTTCCGCCAAAAATCGGAATAAAAACAAATACTGTCACTACCATGAGGATATTGGCCACGACACCAACGAATGTTATAGCCTCAAGCGACTGTTGGACCGTCTGGCTGACAAAGGAGTCCTCACGTCTTATATTTTGAGGTCCAAGGTTACCTTGCAGACTAACCTTGGACAGTCGTCCAAAAAGAAGCCCCACTTTTCTAATAGTTCGGATACGGATGAAACTCCAACCTATACAATAGCAGGCGGCTTCGCTGGAGGCAGCCCTACCATCCGGGGCAATAAAGACTATGTCAGGCGCCTCAATGTTAACTCAGTCGACGAGGGATAGGCGTCCAAGAACTACTTCCCCGAAGTCGTTATTGAGAAACAGTTTTAGAAACTAGGCCAAACGACTCCTTTATCTTCTCCCGATTTTACCCCAAAATATTACAATACTCTGTACGACTTTGCCACTTGATTTCGTTTTTAACCTCTCACGAGTTTTTCGTTTTTACTCTCACTTCTCAATTGAAGCAGCTTCAAACTGAGGTAAGATATATTTTTTTTTTTCTTCTTTTAGGGCTTAGTTTCAATTCAACAATGTAGGATTTAGTTTCACCGAGCTTTATTTTCTCCATTGGTATCCATGGTAGGGTTTATCAGTAAGCTCGGGTTCTTCTAAGAGTTCTAACTTTCTGAGTTGGATTATTTAACTATTGATTATGATTACTGAACTTATAGAAGATTATAACGAACCTTTTTTGTTGTTAGAGTTATGCTATGTGCATTTTACAGCTTTAAGAATTTTATGTGATTTTTTTAGCCAAATTTGATGATTCTGTCAATTTTTGTTGCTAATGTGTTGCATTTTTTTAGTTGAGTCATTTTGTGATTATTAGAACCTGATGCAAGCTTGGGATTTTGAGGCTCGTCGAGCTTCGAGCTTAAGCTGAGCCTGCTGAACTCAGAACCTGCTCCTATTCGGGCTCGGCTCGAAGGTTTAGCACCCCTCATTGAACCCCAATACTATAAACCACTTTTACCACGAACCCTTTTATGTTAGGATGGAAAATTATGGAAATGAGGCTTTTCTTCCTTGGCTTGGGGCGACTGCCCGTCCTGCCATGGCTATGTGACATTATTTTATGTAATGTCTGAAATTATTTTTGCATATGTATGACATGTAATGGATACGATGCCCTGTCATTTTGTGTGCTTTACTTGGTGGTTTGGGTCCGTACATGACCGTGTTGTTGATTTGGTCTTCATGTTTGTTTGTGTTTAGTTCTTGTTTGGGTCTCATTATGTGTGCTTTACTTGGTGGTTTGGGTCCGTCCATAACCGTATTGTCAATTTGGTCTTCTTGTTGGTTGGTGTTTAGTGCTTGTTTGGGTGTCATTTTGTGTGCTTTACTTGGTGGTTTGGGTCCATACAAAACCATATTGTTGATTTGGTTTTCGTGTTGGTTTATGTTTAGTACTTGTATGGGTGTCATTTTGTGTGCTTTACTTGTTGGTTTGGGTCCGTATTATCACTGTATTGTTGACTTGTTCTTCCTGTTGGCTTGTGCTTTGTACTTGTTTGGATGTTACACCTCATTCAGTTTCAAACTTGTCTCGCTTGTTACCAAAGAACCTATTTATGGTAGTTTACTGCTCAATAGTTTCAAAATAGTTGTATAGTATTGGCCAAAATCTATTATAGGAATTGTTGATCCTAAGCTGTCAATTTCTGTTTTGGAGCTCTGAACTTGTTCCTAAAGGTGCTTATGTATATGCTCTTGATTATTATGTTGCATTTGCATTAAGGATACAAAATGGCAAGATACTGTAACTGTGTTAGGTAAGCGGATGATTTGACTGATCCTGCTCCTGCCACGGCATCAGGTTGAAGTTCATTGATATGAATGCTGCACTGGTTCTGAAAAACTTGCTCTCTTGAAAAATAGGTGTGGGGAGGAATTGCTTAACTATTTTTAATTATTTAGGAACATATATTTTGATTTTTCTATCATTTTTGTCCCTAGGCACTTTTTTTAGAATCAAACACGGGATACTATGTAGCTAAACAGATAATTTCTTTTCATTATTTTCTAGAAAGCATTGATGTTGGAGACCCTTCCATGAACGTTATTCATTCTGTTTCTCTACTGAGATGGAATGAAGGTTTGGTAGTAGTTATAATAATGTTCCCACTCTATAATGTGTTTAGAAGCATTCATGTATTTGTACAACTGGGAGTGCTAGAGAGCCTGGAAATGGATCTGTTTCCCTCTTTATCTTTCTTATCTATTTCTAATAATATTAAATAAGCAGTTTCTTGCTGCAGCAAAGATCCAGAAATAAGTTCCGTTTGTGATTGGGAAAGCAATGGTCTGCAGTGAGCAAGTACCTTTCAGTGGTGCTGACTACTACAATGGGAATCTTTTACCCTTTCCTGCAGATCAGACCAGCGCTATGCTGGACAGCCAATTCTGGTATGGAGACACAATTCTAGCTGCTAATGGGTTCTCTCAGGTCCCGATGAATGCAATACATAATGCTACTGATGTCACACAATCTGATGCATTGGCTGGTTTCAACCACATTCCTCTGAGTACTGATCCTTTTATCGATCGTTTGGAAGTGCAAAACTATGACATTTCAGCTCAGAGATCAAGTCTTCCATTCTATGGGACACAGGAGAGCAGCAGACATGGGGGACTGGACAATTTTGTGGTGAGTTCAATTGTTTAACTATGCTAAAGGTGCTTGTATACAAAATGAAACTGTTTGGAAGTTGAAATTCAAGCATTAATTGTCTACAATATAACAGTTAAATCAATGGATGCCCAAGGAAGAACCTATATCATTTATGGATATGGAATGGCAACAAGTTGAGGTGAATACATCCGAACTTACTCTCCACAGCCTACTTTATCCTTACTTTAATTTATTTTTCTCTACCAGATATTTTCTTAAATATTTTTCAAGTGTGGCTGATCTTGTTTGCAAATAATACAACAGAGTCCTGCGTTTCCAGTACAAGCAGCAAACGTAAATGACACCCATGAATTTCTGTCAAATGTGAAAGTTGAGGCAGATACATCTGATGTAGCCCCAGTAACATTGAAGAGTGTGTCCAGAACAAACAGAGAACGATCAAAAGAAGCTGAAACTGTAAGTAAGATTGCTTTGTTGACCATATGAGTCAGCAATGTAAATCATGTACAATGCCATTGTTGGAGAAAATTTCAGCATTTCATGTTGAGTTAATTCAAGTAGATGGTTTGTTGCAATTTTTTCCACTAGCTAGGATGATTCCCCCCGCACCCCCCCCCCCCTTCCTCCACTAATAATTGATGACAATATATAAAATACACCCACTTGAAATCTGCTCTTTAAGGATTTTTGCAATTTCTTTGATGGTGTTTAATGATGATATGAAACAAACCTGAGTTTGAATAACATGTCCATATACTTTCACATGGGACTCTTTTGCCATGTAAATTTGATTTTAGTCATAAATTTATCTCCCTTTTTTTAACTTTGAAAGGGTAACTTCTAATTGGTGTTTGTAGTTATAGCATGTGTTCCTAAGCAAATTTATGTGCCACATGGTTCTCTCCTTCTTACATAAATTTTATGAGTCAGAAATGTAGTTTGGACAGGACTTGAATCCATGATCTCATGTTTCAACTCTAGAGAGTCCACCCTTAGGCTATGTCATTACTTGTGCTCATTTTAAATTTTATGCATAAGGACATAATTCTTGTTATTTGTATGGTAACCTAAGGCATCACCCAAGGCCATTAACTAGTTTTGATTTACTCCCTTTGTTCCCAAATAAAAGTCCCAAAATATCTTGTTCATAAATAAAAAGTCTCATTTCTTCACTATTATTTTTTTTTTATTTATTTTATTATTATTATTATTATTCACCACCCAAGTCCCTTTTAATCAATCAAATTTCACTATCTTGTTTTTTACATTCACCCTTAATCAACCAAACCCCATTTCATATATTTTTATCCACCTTCCTAATCTGTGCAAAAGGTAAATGATTGTTTGGCTTATACTAACTTCTCTCCTTTGTGCAGCGTCGTAGACTCATTATCAGTCAAAGGGTGCAAGATTTGCATGATCTCCTTCCTGCAACCTTCAAGGTGTTTACTGCTCTAGATTGTATATATCTGTATTTGTTAGTTCTGTTGCAGTAAATTAGCATTTTTTTTTTTTTTTTTCCATATTAGACTTTGGCAACTTTGCTTTTTTTATTTTTTATTTTTATTTCCTGATTTTGGGAGTTTTGAGAAAAAAATTCCTTTCTTTGTTGTGTGTGTGTGTGTGTTTTGGTCATTATTTACTTAATTGTTACCCTTTTATCTTGGGGAAGAGGTTTCATGTAGACAGTGGGTTGACAATAATAGATTTGTAGAGAGGGAGACAGAAAAGGGATAGCAGTAGAACGGCACTCTCTAAAAGTTTCCAGCTTGAGTTTCTATTCTATTGTAATAATAGTATAGTGATGTAAGTCCTTCAGAATGCAAATGATGGTGATGTAAGGTGATATTTAGAAACTTCTTAACATATATGGTACATATAGATACCTAACTACTCTGAGAGCAAGCGTTGAAAGAGCTAGTGCTCTCGTAGTCCCATACGTGCTTTGTTTCTTCAGTTATTTGACTACCATCAGTAGGACAGCAGCTACATCTTCCTAAGTTCTAATAACTTAATCTCCTAATTGAGATCTTTTAATAAATTAGAATAGTTTATCATAGATTTATTCTTTTGAGGATTATTATCATTAATTAAAAAAGCTGCTCACTCCTTTTGCAAGGCTTCATACATCATTGTTCATTTTTGGTGCTAATAACGTTGTTACTTGTTGAATTTTTCTTTTGATTCTGTTTGGATGCTGCAGGATAAACGAGGTAACCAAGAGTCTATTGTGAATGATGTCATTGGTCATATCAAGTATTTGCAGCTTCAACTCAAGGTAAATTGGTCTTTCTCCGACTGTCTGGCTTCATTCATTTGCACCCTCATATTCATGTATATCATCCTGGCATGCTTGCAAATGTCGCTGATATTTTTGGTAGAAAGTCTAGAAACTGAACATGAAATTTAACAACCAGGAATTGAGCAGAAGCAGACTGGGAGGTGATTCAAGCTCTGGTCCGTTGAAATTTGATGAGGTGCTTTCTGCTTTCCAATAATTTCTTCTTATGTCCTGTGAACGTGCAAGGATTTTGTCTAATTGTTTTAATATAAAATAATGTAATTCCCAGGGTTATGGACACTACCAACCACATGAACAAATGTTTGGTGAGTCTCTTGATAAAATTCTTGGAAGCTTATTAGAGGAGAATCCAGTAGCAGCACATAATCTTTTCGAGAGTAAAGGTCTGTGTATGGTTCCCATGGCTTCCACTGATGCATTATCATGCAACATAAAGTAGATTTTGTAAGTCATGCTCAAGCTATCTAGAAATGCTTGTTGCATATGCTAAGATATTTGTGTATATAATAACACTTTTCCACAAGTAACTACTCAAAACCTCTTAACTGTAGGAAACTTCTGGTCATGGTATTGCTTTCTTAGAAAGGCAAATGGCATGTAAGTAACTTTACTCGAGTTTGGTTGAATTCAAATTTTGGACATATGAAAGAAAATAGGTTTTTAGTATACTTCCGTGTTAGTTATGCTGTAAGTAGCTATGGACATGGTTTCTCGGTTTGGAGTAACATTCTTTTTAAATCCGAATGAATTGTTACTTGAGAACTAATTTTGCTTGTTTGCAAAGAATTGTTATTGAATCTGATGAGAATCAAGATGATCCTTTATTATGTTACTTTACAATATGTAGGAATGTTGGAGAAAGAATGTATTCTTGAATACTTTCTTGAAAATTCAGAAATTCATTTTATGACTTGAAGTTTTTCAGTCATATTTTATGACTTAAACCAGTTCTGTGAGTGATGCTGATTTCATTTGTGATGTACCAATGTGTGGTACATATTTATGTGCAAAAAAATTGAGGAAAAAAAAAATTGTTATTAGAATTTTGAGTTATGCGGAAATTTTCCTTAGGATCTAATTGTAGTAACCAACGTAGTTACAAGACTTTTGTTTGTTAACACACTTACTAAACAAACTCTAAAAGCAAGGGCCTATTTCCAAAAACCTAGGGTCTCGTCGGAGTTCTGGCGTCGCGACCGATTCTCCAGCGAGTTTCTCCAAATTTTTATTTTATTTTCAGGTTTAATTCGTAGGCAGAGATCCCTTGAGGTTCTGTCTGTCGATCATGAATCAAATTTCCATCCTGTCTCGCGGTCGAGCTTCCTACTCTTAAAAGCCTCTTGCTATTCCACTAGTGGTGAAGAGGTCCTTACCACCAATGGCAAACTCGTCCTTTTCCGTCACCTACAAAGGTTTGTGGGCTTGTTAGACCATCTCCATTGGTGAGACTCAACTTGAGTATTGAAATATAAAATGAGTTGTTTTTTACCTCTAATGGTGATACCCAACCCACTTCTCAATTTAGCAACTCATGTGAAGTCTAATTTCCCAATGGTGAGACTCTCTAAAGCATACTAATATCACTTTCAATTTATGGCCTACCAAATCCATATTGTAAGTATTTTTTTAAAAAAAAAGCACTTAAATAAATTATAAAATATATTATAATATTGATAAGGGCCCACAGTTATTGTCAAATGAGACTTAAAGTTGAGTATCTAAACTTAGCAACTTTCTTTTGGAGTTCTTAAGTTTAGATACCAACTTATTGGTATCCTCTGCAAAAAATACTCTCTCCCTCCTAAAGAAACTCCCTTAAGTCTCACCATCAAAAATGGTCTATAACTGGTGGAAATTTTGTTAGTTTCCTTAGTTTAAAGATGGATCATGGGATTTTGTTTTTATATAAAAGCTTCTGCTACGTAGGTCCTTTAGTTTTGTCGGTAGTGTTGTTATTTTGTTTATGGTTTTAAGTATTATGGATGCTTTTGAGGAACTTAGGGGGGATTTGTGTTTTGCTCATATTGAAGAGGATGATTTAACCTGTTATAAGTTAGAGCAAATAGTCAGGGAGTTGGAGAATCCCTTTGGTGATATGAAGTATGTTAGTAGTTTAAAAGATGAGGGAAACCAATTTTACAAACAAAGTAATATGGTTTCAACAATTGCAAAATACTCTTTTGCACTCAAAATTTTATCTTTTGCTCTGCTTTGTGATGACGAAGATAAATCACTTTTCTCGAGCCTTGCTATGTCACTTAATCTGAACTTGGGGGCTGTTATGTCAAAGAGAGAAACTTTGACAAGGTGGGTCAATTGTGTTCGGTAGTGTTGTGTTATGATACTTCAAACGTGAAAGCTTACTTCAGAAGAACGGTGGCAGCTTTAGAGCTAAACAAACCCGACTTAGCTTTCATGGATCTTTCACAAGCAATTAAGATTGATCCTAACAACAAAGAGTTTCAACAAAAACTCAATGAGGTGACCTCTAAATTGGGTTGGTCTCAGAATTTTATTGATGATGCACTTGTGGTTACAACTGAGGATGAGAGGTTTAGAGATTTCGTTCAGTTTGAGACGAATGAAGAAAAAAAAAGTTAGGAAAGAAAGGGAAAAGAAGAGGAGGAGACGATCATGGAAATGGTTGTGTTCGTAGATGTATTGGTGTAAAAGATGACACCAAAGTGGAAAAGAATGTTTGTGGCAAATATTTGGATTTGGAGGGTAAGGTCAACCATACCGATCAAGATGAAAGGCCTAACATTATTGATACCAAATCTGTTTTCAATTCAACTTCAGAAGAAAAAAAACCCAAATCTTACAGGGTCAAGTTATCGGTTTTCAAACCGAAAACGAATTGATTCCTGTTTGCATCTCACCCTGACAATGTATGGGGCAGTTTCTAAGGGTCGAACACTACTCTACTATTGTTCTTCTAGGAAGAATTTTATTAGCATCCGAGTACTTGATCCTCCAAAGAAGATGGATGGTATTGAAACTCAAGAAGTTTCTACACCAATGGAGATTAGTCACCCCCCTATTAAAGGGCATGATAGGTGTGAAATAACTCCAATTTTGACGCAAGAAGATCTTACTATAGGCATAGTCACTCAAGCGTCATCTTATGAAAGTATGACGATGTTCCTTCCCGATGCACCAATCCTTTCCCCGTTGAAGTCTACTAGGAACCACATAACCTACTCCTCACAGACAACATTGATTTTTGCCTCCTCCCGCCGTTCTAGAGCTAGAAGGAAAACTGATTTTCGAGGAAGTAAAACTCCCTCCGTTATTATTAACTCCTCGTTTTGCAGGATCAGTGGCTCTAAGAAAAGAGCATCTTGTTCCTTCGAAAACATCTGATCTCCCAATAGAAAAGGATTGTATGGTCCTACCCATAATGTTCTAATGTGTAATTTGTTTTATGATTAATATTATGCTTTTTCTGATGTAAAAAAAAAATTAAAAAATAAAATAAAAATAAAAATAAAAACTAAACAAAGTTGTATATTAAAACATCAATAAGCAAAGAAAATAATCACTAACTGGCAAAAATAAAAAGGGCCAAATAAAGCAACCTTCGTTCAACCATCTGAGTAAATCAGCAACTCATGCAAGTCCATTTGCCCATATGATGCTAGGAACAAAACGAGCTGCGATTGAAAAGCACAGCCAATGCACAAACATTGCAACATAATAGATGTGGGTGCATAAGCCAACAGAAAATTCATTTGAGCACGAAGTGCACATAATCCTGGAAGCTTCTCGATCAGTATCAGGAGCAACACAAGCATGTGCCATGAAGAAGGCCCATGAGAAAATTCATTTGAGCACGAAGTGCACATAATCCTGGAAGCTTCTCGATCAGTATCAGGAGCAACACAAGCATGTGCCATGAAGAAGGCCCATGCTAGCAAGGCTATGTTACATTCTTACAGACATGGCAATTCTACGCTCTACTTGATTCGTGAAATTATACTACAAATTGAAAGTAGAGCATGAAATTGCAAGACTATACAACAAAACTAGATTATATAGAAAAAAAAAAAGGAAACAATACAAAATTTTATCCTATTTTGCCTAGTCCCTCTGGCTTTCCCGCTTCTATTATGTGTAACCTTTTGAATAGTTTACAACTCAATAAAAACCAACTATTGTAAGACTAAAATGAGTATATACACGGCACTTGAGGCTCAAAACATTCTCAAGAAGGGTCAACTTTTATAACGAGTGGCTGCCAAAAATCTGAAGGTGACTCTTTTACAGTAGGAAGCTTTGATGCTTCGTCTGACGCCAAAATGCATTCAAAATCAGCATTTTCAGCTAATGCTTTATCCAGAGAAGCTTTAGCAATTCGGCTTATAGACATTATAAGGACCACTGCAAAGTAAGATACAAAATACGAGAGTTAGTCAAGTTCACAAGAGTTGTATCATGCCTAGAATTCTATTTACTTCTTCTATAGTTAAATTGGTAGGGGGTGGCCGCTGTTTAGAGCCTATAAATTGCAAACGATGTTCAAGATCAAGATGTTACTCTACTGGAAACAGTAGAATGAGTCATGACAAAAATGGGCAGGTCTAGATGATTATATGTTTAGCTGAGAAGTGGGAATTCTCGAGCTAGATAGCATCAAATGAAAAGATTATTACAGTTATCAGTGTGTGGTGTGCCAGTTAAATTCTAGGCTGACATAAGCATATTCCTTCAAGAATGACAATGAAAAATTTACGTAGTACAAGAAAATAAAATGGTAAATGACTCACCAGATACAATTAGACCCAATCCAATAAAACCCTGCAGCAACAAGATAACAAAATGAATTCCAGATTTTTCAAAGCAAATGCATGCCAGCATAAGTAGTTCAGTGGTTCTGTCCATGTGAAAGCATTTGGAAGAACAAGCCCAAGAAATTTACGTCTTAAGGTTTAATTTTAAAACTTGTTCATCTGGGTGCACTGAAACATAACTTTCTCCAAGAAAAATAGTTTATTTCAAACTACGCTCTGAGATGTCTTCCATGCTTGCAACTTACAAGACGTTAAAGTGGTTTATGAATAAAAACGAAACACAGGGATATAGAATAGGAGTGACACTTGTCATTTATGATTAGCGAGGATTGAAGGGGACAACATTTCAATGCTAGAACAAGGTGGCGATAAGAGACGAGTGAAGTGAGGATAAATCTAAGTGAGTCCAGTCATATTTGTGAAGACTTGCTACATATATAACAAGTTCACAACTAAAACCTAAGGACAGTTTTATTTGTTTGCTATGTGTACTATAGTCAACAGTATAAGCTTAATCAAGAATGAATAACCAACAATTTAAACCTTGTGTTCTACAAGAGAACATGTTGATCAGATAAGCTAAAAAAATTAATAGGAAGCACTTACCAATCGAGCAGTTGACACCTCACTCCATCCATGGGTGACATCAGAAAGGTTTTTCAATGTTGTACCCACATATACAAATGCAAATGTGATCGGCTGCAATGAAAATTAAACATGGTGATAATTAGCATTTACAATGGAGTAGCCCTCCCTGTCTCTACAAGAAAATCGCACAACAGAGAGTAAAAGGGAGAATGGTGGTGAATGGAAACAATAAAATTAAAAGAAAAGAAAAATAGACAAGCTAACGCAGAGCAGCATGCAGTACCATCATTCCCAACCACGTTGCCAGGATGTAAGCGCCCAAGTTAATAGGAGTTACAGACAGGAGGTAATTCAACATGTTGAATGGAAGGAGGGGAACCAGTCGAAGTAGCAAAACAATCTGTCAACGAGAGAGTTATTAGTGCAAATGTAGAAAACCTACTCTAAAATAACTCAAGTATTTGGTCATTATGTAGGAAATAGTAATAGTAAATAACTAAAAATAATTCTTAATTTAAAAAATTAAATAAATAAAATAAAAAGATCTTTAAACAAAAAGCATGATAACTTGACCTAAAAGTAGCATTATGCTAACTCCCTCCCTTAACAGTTATTTGTCCTTTCCCACTTGGCATGGCTTAAAAAAGTAATCTTTCTTATTGTCAATAAAACAATATTTGGGAAAATTATAAGACATTCTTTACTGATGATTTCTAAAAAGTAACATCGGGAGAACAAGAAGTTAATTAAAAAAGAAATATAAAGAGAGAAGGGGGGGGGGGGGGGTCGTGTCCTCATCAGTAAATATTTCTGGAAAAATTGTCCAAGTGACAACTTCAGGATAAAAGGGACTGGCAGGAGTATTAGCTTGAGATAATGTACTGGACAGCTGAAATAAATATCCACAGTAGAGTAAATTTTCAATATGATCCACAATAGCGATAGTTCTCAGCAGAAGTCTACAATACATCATTAATAAAACCCATTAATTCAATTATTTCTATTCCTTAATTTCAGCCAAATAAAAAATTAAAATAAAGGCAAACATTAAATAACAGCCCATCAATTCCTTTTCAATAATATATGTTTCTAAGACCTATCAAGCAGCAGACATGGGGTTTTTCATAATCAATTTAGTGCAAGTAAAGTTTAGTTTTAAAAGGCGCAAGATGCAGCAAGGCACAAAAGTTCTTGGATCCTAGGCGCGAGCCTTTTGTAGGTGAGGCGCACTTTTTGATTGATAAGTCTAAGAAAAGAATTATGAGAAAAGGTGAAAGACCATGTGACCAATAATTAGGGTTCTTTAAATGGAATTGGGGCATTTGGGATGTCTTACTCCTCTAGTATTATAATAAATTTAACAGCTGCAAAGTCACATGGTGTTTTACTTAAGAAAATTATTTTACACATCAGCTATTGATGACTTACTATACAACATAAGGCGCAAGAAGCAGCCTAAAAAAAGCACATAGGCATGTGCCTTTTGTAGGTCTTTGAGCCTCACAGAGCTAAGGCGGTGCCAGCTCTCGCACCTGACTGTGCCAGCTCTCGCACCTCACAGAGCTTAGGTGCAACTAAGGTGCACTTTACAAAATTATTAAGTAATCAGAATCATATCAAGTATGTGTGATTATATCAAGGCAAGAGTTGGTATAGAGATAAAATGTGATAGACTCACATGGGGCACTCAAACCACCACTAAGGGTGTACGTGAAAAGGAAGAAAGGTAAAGAGAAGAGTGTTCAAAGGGAAGGGAGCATACAGCAGGCACCAAAAGAAAGGGGTGACAGCAAGGCGGAAACGGACAAAAAGAATTAATGATCCACTATGGCATTGAGAAAATGAAGAAGAGGACAAGCTGATTCTCTGATGAAGTAGAAGACAAATCCAATTATTCCTAGGTTATTGTAATTGCTTGAGTATAAATAGTCAGTAGAGTAGTAATAGCATGTTATGTGAATTTTAAATGATGTTTTGTAGAGAGTTAGTAGCCTCAAGCTGCTGGTGAGACTGATAGCCTAAAGTTATCACTTTTGTATCTAAAATCTTTAATTGTCAATCAAATACTCAAGCTTTTGCCTTTAGAATTCTCTTGCAAAATATAGCTTACAATCTGAAAGTACCAGTCTATTACATAAAAGCCTAAAACCTATACAATTTAAATGACTTACTGCCAGGTTTCATTATTTTCTTCACTCATTTTGAGTTACAATAATATCAAGCTTACTTGATTTGTAGCATAGATGAGTTACAAATAAAATGGGTAGGCAATAATGCAATATACCTCACAAGAAGTTGGTTGAAAGGGAGTGTCATATATTACTAATCTGCTTCTATAAGAAACAATCACTGTTTCCACCAAGGGTAAGTTATTATTTACTGCCACATGTTACTTATGGATAACAGCTAACTTAGGTAAAGCCTTTCAACAATATGACTTACAAGAGACTCCAGCCCATGACAAGGCTGGGGGAGGGAGGGAAGGAGGTGGGTCAGATATAAGCAGTGTAGCTGTTCTAATAAAGTGAGGATATTTTCAAGTCAAACTGACCTTTAACCCAAAATGTAACAAGCCCCCACTACTTCACAATAATAAAGTAGCAATGGTTTACTTAGTCATTTAGGATAGTTTTCAATGCAAGCCATCTGAGCTCTCCGTACCAGCAGATCACATTAACGCACTGGGTAATGTCCCAGCAACAGCGAAGGCAATCTTCTTGGACATAAACAAAAGTACATTTCAACATTGTTGACTATGCCTACAAAGAAGATACAGTTTGAGGATCATTCAACATAAGCATCCCTGATGGTAAAGCAAACTTCAAAAACTATCAATATTTTTTATCTCAGAGAAGAACAGAAGCCACCAAGATAGATCAAGTCAATTGATTCAACTGCTACCTGGAAGTGAGATTTTTAAAGCCTCTGTGGGTAGCTCAAACCCTATATGAAACTAAGGAAAACTTGTTTGCAACTTGCTTACTTTGAGTCATTTTAAAGTTATAAAATAATATGGATTATATTTTATAAAAAAATTAAAAAAAAAATTAAAAAAAAAAAAAAAAAAAAGAAAAAGAAACAAAAAGAAAAAAAAAAAAAGAAAAGAAAATGAAAAAAAAGTTTTTAAAAAAAAGTTAAAAAAAAAGAAGAAAGTCAGATAAGTAGCTGTTCATGAATGGAGTTTGATTTTACTGATTCCAACTACGCTCACATAAATTGGAACATCTATGACAGCATTAGACTAAGAGAACTAGAGTAGATGAACAAATCTTGCTGATATAAAAATTATAAGGACCATCCACAACCAAAAGACGGTGGGCCTAAAGATCACTGACACTTACGGAGCATCCACTAAAGTTTTGAAAAGAGAAAAAATGAAGCACTAGAAAGGCACATCAGATAATGAAAAGAGAGGAACTATGGAAACTCACAGCTATTATACCTCAAAATACACAGAGCTTAAAGGAATATAACAGATGTCAAGAGCTTCTGTAGCAGCTACAAATACAGCTGTCACAGGGTACCATAGTCAGAGGGAGAAGACCAAAAAGTGATACTTCAGTCAGAAAGGATAAAAGTCGCCAATGGATTTGGAAGATAAAATAGAATTGAGGAGAATGATGAGGAAACTTTTTTACAACATGATTGGATGATCCTATGGTAGCAGTTAAAATAAGAACTAAATGCAATTTCCAATTTAGGGTTTTTTATTGCTCATAACACGAGCAGACAGTGACTTGACAGAATATGATACCTATACCGTAACACAAAAAAAAAAAAAAAAAAAAAAAAAAAAAAAGTTATATCATGCCATAGTTCATATAGATGACAATGTCACCACTACTATGTCACAATGATGCAAAACAGTTAAGAAGCTCATTCAAAGCACATTTCTACAAATCCAAATCAAAGTCTCAACACATGACATCTCCCAACACAAACGAAATAATTTAGATAAGGAAGCTACAAAAATGCCAAATATAATATTCTAGATATAACAATAAGTACATGCAATGAAGCAATTGTCCACCTCAGCCTGAATGAAGTTTCCATACAAATTCCATGGCCTACCTGACCACATCCACAAGAATTATGGATGACATACAAATTAGTGATATCCTGATTTTTAAACACTGTTCTACAATTTCCTGTATAGAGTTATGACACTTCAACAATTTATCCACAAGAGCCCTCATAATTTTCATGACATACCCAGATTTCCAAATTACATAGCTCACTGATATTGTAACTCATTGTTTCATCAAACGCATCAAACTATGACAGACAAAAACAACACCTTTCACATGCACACATCAACTGAGACCCATACTCAATGTAGTATTACCTTAAAGCCAGACTTTTGAATGGCAATGGCAACTGCTTGGAACTTGGGGTAGTTCTTAAGCTTTGACATGACATAGGATTTTCCGATCTGAAAAAAGTAAAAAAAAACAAAGAATTTATCAGCTCATGTACCATTACAATCAGGACATGATAAAAATATATGAAATAAGTATTAAGAAAGTAGCAGCAAGCATGTACACAATGACAGACGTGCACATGGAGGCATTCAAGACTTACAGTTCTTCCAAGAAGAAAAGCCGCTGTAGCACCAAGTGTGGCTCCAGTTGAATCAGCAACAAATCCTAAAGGCAACCCAAAGAGATAACCTCCCCCAAGCTGGAGAAAAAACAGGCCAGGATCAGGAAATCACATAAGCAGTAATTGGGGATAAATGTGATCAATCATTGAAAAGCAAACATTTGCAAAAGATTACTAGGAGAGATAGTGAGGTGTATTGGTGCAAACATCTAACTGATCTAAGAAGTGTGAAAAGATATGTTTAATCACTATGCCCAATTCAAGTTAATTTTTGAAATTAGCATAGATTTTGGCCCTATGCCCTACAGATTTTAAAAGTCAAGATTCTTGATACAGGATCAAGCACTATATTTTACTCAATTGGCATAAAGAAATCACTAACTATTTTCACACTATATCAGATTTCATGTCATATCTCATCACTAGTTAATAAATCAGTATGAAGCTGGAGTTAGTGAATCTTCCAATTCAAAGAAATTGAAAACGTCCATTTCAATTTCTGATTGCATTGACATTAGATCAATCAATAAACTAATCAATCAAAGCCTTAATCCCATAAGTGGGGTAGGCTACATAAATCAAATTTGATTATTCCGTGTAGTCATCGACAAAAATCTTCCTCCTCCATCCCTTACAATCCAATGCCTCATCCTCATGCAAATCCATATACTTCATATCCTTCTTAACTCCTTCCAATCAAGTTATTTTCAGTCTCCCTCTCTCGTTTAACCCTTCCATGGTCCCACTCTTCCACTCTTTGTACCGGTGCACCCTCGAGTCTCCGTCTTACATGCCCAAACCAAAACAGGCGATTTTCCCTTAGTTTGTACATTGACATTAGATATTTCAATAAAATTTCCATGTTTGTGGTTAAGCTAAAAGTCAAGTACCAGTCTCTTAAATAAAAGATCTTACATAAATTAACTCTTTGCAACCGTGTTATATGGCCAAAAGAGTCTCTTTACAGCTGTACATACCAGGTTAGAAAGATTTGACCTCTCCCCTCCTCGACAAAAGCAGGAACATTAAAAGACGCAACGGATGGTCTAGTATGGTTTGTCGGGAAGGTGGGAGGCAAGAACGAGCAATATGAGAGACATTGCTGGTAGCTCAGTATACAAAATCTAAAGACTCCGGTGTTTCAGTAACCACCTAGTGATCCATGCACAGCACGAAAATAGAATTTCAACAATTCTTCAAAAATATCTAATTTGGAAATAATAGAAGTTAAAAAGCATTCTAAAATAATATATAATTTCAGCTGTTAGTTCCCAAATAAGGATATCATCATACCATTATAAATACTATGAAACAGAAGAATTTTGTGACATGCCTAAGGCGGTCATGTACAATTTCATGGAGTATAAAAACAGTTTTAAGCGTAAGCTACCAAATGATAATCCTAGAATTTTCCTTATTCTCATCCTAAGACACTAAGAACAAAGAAAAGAAGGGGCAAGAAATATCAATCACCATGAGAAAATCTCGTAAAGAAGAACCAATAAAAAAGTTTCATACCGTAAGTACTGAGGCAGGAACTGCTAGAACTGTGAGAGGGATGTATGCAATAGCCCTAACAGAATAAAATAGCCACGATTAGTTGCAGAGCCAATATTAAAAATGATCTATCTTTGCTGAATTAGAAATGTCTGCTATTAGGTGAGTTTACAGTAAGACAATTTGTTTATAAAAAAATATAGATGTACGTATTTCTTTTGAGATAACTGAAATAAGAACACCATTTCCTGATTTCATCACACAATCCCTTCAGCCATTCCAAATCAATCAACCTTTACTCAAGGCCATAAATACTTTTTTAGAACATGAAAAAAGAGTAAACAATTTACTGTTTATAAGTCCTCAGTTCCACAAATATTGTACCATGTAAAGTTTAATGCTTCCCCAGACAACTTTGACCATTAATAAGTTTAATTCTCATTAAGTTTTAAGAAAAAAAAAAAAAAGTTGATATCTTTAAAGCATACATAAGGAAAAACTAAAAATATCCCACATGTCTATTCTTTTCTATATTTATAATACACAAGCGGATGGTTAAATGAGAACGTTTGAAAAATGTAAAAATTCAGCATGGAGCAATATCTGTGAAACGAAGGTCATCAAACCATGCAAATCCAAGAACTCCCAACCCCCCACCAAAAAAAAAAAAAAAATCATGAAGCACAAAGATCCATCAAATCCAATGTCACTTTGTATGGCCTTCATATTTGATTTAAGTCCCATACCCTCATTTCCTGCAGCTATTTATAACAAGATTTTATATGCAGTAGGTCCATATCCAAGTAGTAATAAGGGTTTGACTACAATAAAGTGGTATTAAAACAAACGACAATTTTCACATGTTATAAAATGTATGGCTTCAACACTTTTAACCCTCGCTCACTTAAAGTGAATATAAAAAGAAACTTGTAACAAAAAGGAGAACAATTCCGTAAAAGTAACTTACAATACAACAGGGCCCCAAGGACCAAGATCCTCCTTGACCCATAGCAAGAAATCCCTCAGATACTGCCAAAAGATAACGGGAAAAAAAAATATATACATGTCAATATCAGAAATCAATAATGGTAAGTATAACTATAACAATGAACAATCATGTTATAGCATTGCAATGGGAGTTAAAATTCCAACTAATAACTGATTCAATTGTTCATCAGAAAAATTAGCTAAGCTTTGCCCAGTAACCAAAAGACATAAATTATTTATTTTCTCCTATCATTTCTCTTTTAACACTAGAATTGATAGATAAATAAATTAATAAATATCTCTAAAATAGAATAATAGAAAGGATAACTATTGTGTATTAGCAAATGACATCTAACAGTTATATTGATAAGATTTTTAATTGATTGTTCTCCTAGTACAAAGGGACGAGATTGGATATGCATTGGCTCATTTACTCTTACTTTCAATCATTGTTTTGGTACAGTAGATTCACTGAACAAAAAGAAAGAAAAGAAAGAGGCATAGTGATATCAGTTATGTTGTATTGCATTTATATACTACACTAGAGAGCTACAAAGATTAAAGACACCTTCAGAGCATTTCAATATCTGACCAACCATTTCAGATGTTTGGGAATAAAGCCATGACTAAAGCAGCAGGGATCAAATAACACACATTTTCAACCTTCTTTTCTCGATAACTAAATTTTTAATACAAGTAATCGGAACAAAAGAACACAACGTAACACATCAAAAAAAAAATATTATATCTTCATTTCAATAGATTAATAGCTATTATCACTACCTCCGTCCTCTTTTATTTGCTCCAAAGCAGGAGTTACTTCTTAACTTTTGGTTGAAAGGAGTTGATGAGCAAGAAAAATGGAGGGGTATGATGTAGTGGCTGTAAGAGTAAAGTTGTGATCCCTACAGCCAAAAATAGTATGGGGCACTTAAAGTTACAACCTCTAGTCCTCTACACTATTTGAAATGAAAGCCCATAACTGTACAGAATTCCCTACTCTTTCTACTCTGATGGCAGCAGTTGTAGATTAGGTACTCCCTCAAATTAAAATACCCAAATAGCTATGAATGCTCAATGTCCTCCAGCCATGATTTGCTACTGTTTACTGTTGTGGCATCAACTTCCAATTTGAGGATCAAATTGCATTTCCCTATTCTTTTTTCAAGACCTAATTGCTAATTTTCTACAGGTTGGACAAAACATTTGTAGTTATCAACGTGTCTCTCCTCTAATCTCTTGACCATATGAAATACATTTATAAGCGTCAATTTTATCAATGTAGCCTGGTAATATGTAAATGAGTTCTATATTTAACACTTTTTTTCCAGAAAGATGTTTATACCTTCATTTTCCTAAGACCTTCGGAGATCCCTATGGCCAAGCACAAGATTACTCTTTGAGTAGGTTACTTCTATTCTTAGGTTACTTCACAGCATTCATTGCTCCTCACTAAGTGGTGCCAGCAGCAATACAAGTTGGAGGAAGCTTTCTTACAAAATACGATAGGGTTGTCAACAAAACAACTTATAGCAGCATCCTTTCTCCTAGTCTCTAATACTTCGACCAAAGGCTTTTGTATTCTACTAATTTGTAATTGATAACGTTCTCTTAACATGCAAGCATTAAGACAACAAGTGAAAGATAGCAATAGAAATATTCTCTTAAAGCCAAAAACAGAAAAATAGGATAAAATTCTTTCTACATGGATGATCCTAACTAAAGAGTTCAGCTCATCCAAACCCTTCTGATTTCTGAATTTCGCATGACGGTAAATTCTTGGATTGGTGTATATTAGTACAAGATAGTCAAAGTCACTTCATTATTCTGAAAGTCACCCCAGTACCCATATCCATTTTAAATTCACCTTGGTGCATAACGATCCTAATTGAAGTCGGCCCCATATCTTTTAAAAAGTCACCTTCATTCATCATACAGGCACACACCCGCCTTACCGTTACTGTTTCCATGATACACAAATTTGTACATGTATATTTCTATAACACCTAATGGTTCTTAATAACTTACTTCTAATAGCACATTCTTATAATTAAAAGATAAATCCAGAGAGAGCATACCCCATCTTGTGCCAACCAGAAGAGTCCAAGAGACATATGATTCACACCTAATGTAAACTACATAGACCCAAATACAATTATATAGGGTGCATAAAAATAATGTTGCAATAGGCCTTCATTATCAGACAACATGCCATATGTCTAATTAGAAACCTCACTATCCACGCACATTTTCCCATATACACTGTCTTGGTCACTGACTCCTATTAAGTATTTAACTTGGATTCTGTTCATATTCAGCCTGCCTTAGTTCCTAAATTCAGTTGATGGTGAATACCATGAAGCTAAAAACTAGAGCCTAGCTAACTACAATTATTCCATAGGCTGTTTAGGCAGTACAACATCAACAAAGCCATCAAATGCAGGACCTCATAAATCTTAGAAACCGCTTTTGGCGCTTTGTATTAGCACACCGTAGAACCCTATAGATCATCTCTTTGCTATGTGCAGCTTCAATCTCATGTTGATGAACACGCTAATCAAACTTCCAATCTACTTCAAAATGCCGAATTACCAATGAAACTCGACCACATCAACAACAATATCCTTTACAAAATACTAAGCATCATATAACTTGCACAACCACATTTCTTAATAAGACACAAGATAAAGCCAAAGAATTCTCAAAATGCCAAGTTGCCAACTCCAATCTAATCACAACACTAATAACACACAAAACACTTCAAATGCAATTTGAGCAGTTTCTAAGCAATCAATAACAATTTAATGAAACCCAATTGACAATCAACATCAAATCAATAATCAAAACCAGATCACAATCACAATGATAAAATCACTAAATCCCAAAAAGAAAAAATGGGAAAGTTTAGAATGACAACCTGATCAATGGGGAGAGAATAAAGGAGACAGAGAAAGCCGAGGACGATAAGAACGGCGACGAGGCGGCGGAGAGCGGAAGGGACAGACTTGGGGAAAAAGAAAGCCACAGAAGAAAAGAACCAGCGGCGGAGGAGGAACCATGGGCGGGTGGCGCGATGGAGGTCCTCACCGTCTACGGTTAACTCCGGCTTCGATGAGGATCTTGCCCTTAAACTCAATCCTCCAACGTTTGCCAGGTTTCTTAAATTTTGTCAAAATCCTACAAAACTGCCTGAATACTCTAATCTTCACCCAAAATCTGAGTCAGAATTTCTGCCTGAAATCTACTGTTCTTCACCCAAAATTTGAGTCTGAATCCTACTATTTTTCACCCAATATCTGAGTCTGAAATTTTGCCTGAATCCTGCTTTTCTTCACCCAAAATCTGAGTCTGAAATCCTACTGTTCTTCACCCAAAATCTGAGTCTGAATTGCTGTTTTTTCTGGGTATGTTGGTGTCTGAATTGGGGTTGGTTGTTTATATAGTTTTCTGGTATCGGCAGAATTGGCTACACACTTAATTCAGTGATCTGGGTTCATTGGAGTTTGAACAAGATGAAGTGGGCTAATGGTAGATTGGAGGATTGGAGAGTGGAAGTTGGCTAGTTCGTCAATGTTGCGTCTGATTGTTCATTTGTTTGTGTGTTTCCATCAGCCCGTTACATGTCAATAGTTGATACTCGTATAAATGAGAGCAATTTCCATATTTTTTTTTTAATAAAGATTGATTCATAAATAAAAACTCATACGATATCTGTAAATAGATTTAAATCTAATAAATATATGACAATTGAATCAAATAACATTATCCTTTCAGCATAGCATTTACAGCCTTTTTCGACGAGGGGTCTATCAATCTGTTGTAATCGTGAAGAAAATTTTTGCCTAATTGTAATCGAAGAATTAACCTCTTTCCTCGATCCCGCACAAATCTTTAAACTCCAAGAACAAAAACAAAATTAGAACAAAGCCCACCATAGGGGCTCTTACTATACTCAAACCAACTATAGGGGCACTTACTACCTTCAAAGAATGTAGATTTATTGAATTTAATAACAAAATCATAAAGAAACTAAAGGGAAAGGGTATTTCCAGCCTATGAAACACTTTTTCTTAAGACCCTAGAGAGAAAAAATAGAGAGAAAACGGCTAGGCATTATGAGAGCGATTTCTGTAAATAATGCTTAAAATGATTAAATTTCCACAATTACGCCATATTTAAATACAATTCCCTACATACCTTTCACGTCAGCTAAATAAGATAGTCTTTTTTTTACTTAAAAAGTATAAAACCGCTAACCGCTAATTCAATTAGCAGTTTAAGTCTTCCACCTAAACCCTCCTTTTTTTTCTTGTTTCCATGTTAACAAAACCACTAATTCAATTAGCGGTTTACAAGTAAACTGCTAATTGAAATAACGATTTTGTTTTGAATTGAGCAAAAATAATTATTTCATAATTACAAATGTTGACAGGGACGGTATGCAGGGAATTTTGAAAAAATGGGACGTATTTACGAAATTATGATCTTTTATAGCATTTTAAATAATAAATTTTACTAATTTTTAATGATTCTCTATCATATATGTTCTTTAAAATTACTGATATTTACTAATTAAGTATCATTTTTAATAAACTAGAATTAATTTTACATCCTATTAACTTTGCCATAATTTTAATTCAATAAGTAGAAGTTTAGTTTAATAAAAATAAATTTAATTCAATAAATTTCAATTCAGTAAAAATAATTTAAGAATAATTTTAGTTCGGTAAAAATAGTATCAGAATAATATCAGTTCAGTAAAAATAAGTTCAATTCAATAAAAAAAATTTCAATTCAGTAAAAATTAGATTATCACTATGCAATGCACGGTTAGAATTAATCTTCTTGTAATATATATATACATAATACATATATACATATATATATATATATATATATATATACGTATATATATGTGATTAGGGGATTTTCTCCTGCCACGTGGACCAATGGAGCTCTGCCACGTGTTGTCCACGTGGACCAATCAAAGTCTGTCACGTGTCACCTCGTGAGAGGCCCATGGTGGACCAATCAGGTCACGACACGTGGCAAATAGATTGCCAACTGGGAAAAGCGACCTTTACGGCCCAAATTCCAAGGCAAACCCAGTCAGTCCTAGGTTATAGAAACCTAGTACTGGGCCCGCATTTCAAAGACCCTATAAAAGGGAGATGTTCCCTCTGAGGAACATCATTCAGAAATCATCAAACACACGTGTACATTACTTGCTTAGCATTAACTCCAGCTTTAATTGCGCTACTTGAGAGCTAAGGCTCGGATTCCGAGACTGTCTCAGACAGTCGGATGATCACTCCCCTTCCAAGAGGAGCCTGATCACCTTTACTTTCCGCATCTTTACTTCCGTACACGTTCTAACTTCATCGTTGGAGGCGGAACTCCCACCCACAAGAGTCTCCGTTGTTTTGCATGTACAGGCGTCCAGAGGTCAGTCTTGGTGTTGTAACTCTCCTGCAGGACATCCAAAAAACCCCGAAACATTTGGCGCCGTCTGTGGGGAGAGTACTATAAGATGACTTCACAAGAACCTATACCGCCTCTTAATGAGAAACGGCCTATGGCCGAAGTCCAGGTCTTTACAGACCAGGATACAAATGACGATTGTGAGGTCGACACACACACGGCCCCTGATGGGTCCCTAAGAACTCGGGGCATCCGTCCCCTCGAAAGGAAGGAACGGACTGTCGAACAGGCGGGCCCTAGCGAACCAGCCGGCCAGCTGGTCGGTCAACCTCAGGCGACCGAAGGCTCCGTCCCCATCACCAAAAACGAGCTCATGACCCTCATGACAAGTTTCAAAGGGCAGATTAAGGACCTGATTGACAAACGGACGGTTGTTTCCACCAGGGACCAGTCGGCCAAGAAGCCCTCTCATTTTGGGAGGAATAAGCTGGTCAAAGACCGAGAGGCCACTCCTTACCCTAAACCTAGGGAGGGGAAGAGGCCCTTGTTAAATTTGGCCAAATTCCAGTTCCGGAAGAGGAAGGCCATCCGGCATGTACAACCGGATGGATCAAAGAAAACTTATTCTGATGCCCGGATGTTAATCCAGCAGAAGAGGAACATGCAACTGTCAGAGTCGGCTTCCACGTCGAACTTGCAAGACAGCTTTCAGAATACCTCAATGAGGTATTCACAATCAAAGCAAGAGAACCAGACAAGCGGCATGTCCGCCCACTCTAGACCTCTGATGCTCCTTGCGACCCCGTATGTGCCTCAACAGCCATACATGCCGTATGGACAACATTGCAAGCAACTGACCCTCTTTGGGGGGCAGGCGACAAATAATGTCCAGCCTTTGGACTGGCAGCTCCGACTGCTAAGACTAGGGGAACAACCCTCTGCTTTTTCTAAGGAAATAACAGAGGCTGGCCAGCCGGCCAAGGTGAAAAATGTGTTGGTAAGTGCCTATGACAATACCACCAACCCAAAAGACCACCTGATGGCATACACCAACCTTATGTATCTTCAAGGGTTGGATGATGCTGCATGGTGTAGATGCTTCCCGGCCACATTGAAGGGCGTCGCCCAGCAATGGTTTGGCAACCTGCCAGCCGGATGCATCAATAATTTCAAGACGCTTGCATACTTGTTTGCGTCAAACTTCTCAATGAATATCTCTGCAAAGAAAACAAGTCTTGACTTGGGAGCTATACAGTAAAGTGAGAAGGAAGGGGTACGCTCAAATATCAGGCGGTTCAATCTGGTGAAAATTCAGAGTCAATGACTGTCTGATGAGGTGGCCTATGCAGACTTTTTCAAAGGTCTGAAGGACGGGTCGGCCTTCAAGATCGATCTTGTCAGGAAGAGGGTTGCTACCCTTTAAGAAGCACTGATGGAGGCGGACGCCTATATACAGGCGACCGAACTCTTCAACATCAGTTAACAGTCGGACTCAAAGAGGTCTGACAAAAAAGAGAGTCGGCCATTACAGCCGGCTAAGAAAGAAAAGAAGAGAAAAGAAGTCTGGATGGCTGATACTTCAGAACAGTCGTCCCAGAAGAAAAAGAGAGAAACAAAAACGTACTCCCCAAAGTACGAATTCAATAAAGACGGTCACTCCATCCTCATGGAAATTAAGGACGGGGTCTCCATTGACAAGTCGGCTGCTATGAAAGGTTCCGCCAAAAATTGGAACAAAAATAAATATTGCCACTACCATGAGGATATTGGCCATGACATCAACGAATGCTTTAGTCTCAATCGGCTGTTGGACCGTCTGGCTGATAAAGGAGTTCTCAAGTCTTATATTTTGAGGTCCAAGGTTACCCTGCAAACTAACCCTCGGCAGTCGTCTAAGAAGAAGCCTCACTCTGCTAATAGTTCGGACATTGATGAAACTCCGATCTATACAGCAGTAGGCGGCTTTGCTGGAGGCGGCCCAACGATCCGGGGTAACAAGGACTACATCAGATGGCTCGACGTCAACTCGATCGACGAAGGGCAGGCATCCAAGGACTCCTTCCCCGAAGTTGTAGTTATAGAGGATAACAGGGCAAAGTCAGGAGGCCGCATGATGACCCTATTGCCATCTAATGCAAAGTGGCCAACCAAAGAGTTGGTCGAATCCTCATTGATACTGGGAGCTCATCTGATCTCATCAGTCACAAGTGCTTGGCCAAGCTCAGGTACAAGCCCGAGAACATGCACCAAGTCTCTCATCCCTTAGTGGGATTTGGAGGTGGTGTGGTACATCCGGTAGGACGAATAGACCTACCCATTCGTCTGGGTGAAAAAGGGGAGGGACGTCACATGGTGGTCCGGTTCCTAGTTGTTGAAGAACTGACGGCCTATAACATGATTTTGGGGCGTCCCATCCTGAATGAATCCAAGGCTGTTATCATCCCTTCTCTTATTCTCCTCAAGTTTGAGAAGGATGATGGAATAGTCGGCTCCCTTCGGAGAGACCAAAAGATGGCCAGGGAGTGTTACCTCTCTGATGTCAAACCCACTATGGTTGCATTAGGCCCCAGTGGAGAAACTACTGACCTTGAGCAAATCAAGGAAGCCGCGCCTATTGCCACAGCAGCCGGCAAGAAGAGAAAGGCCAATCAAATGGTGGCCGAGAAAAAAGACAAGCAATAGCAATCATTGACCGGTCGTCCCCAGCTGGCTGGTGAGCACATGAACATCGTTCTGGATGACACT